ATGATCAGTTAGAAAATGACTTGGAGTATCCTCAACGCATATTAGAAGAAGTTGATATGGAGGAAATATCAACCATAGAAAATGAGGACGAAGAATCAGCTGATAAAAATGAAATAAGTGAAGAGGAAGAATTCACGGACGAGGAAGGATATTTCGAAGACGACTAACATGTTAGTTTTTTCAAGTGCTCTCAGCTTATATAGATTAATATTCTCAATTCTAATATTTTCTTTAATTTATGCAGATGACCAGTAGGGGTCGAGGTAGGTCTAGGAAGGATAAGAGGTGTATTGATCATGAGGATAGTGCTACACCATCGCTTCCTTTCACTCCACACTTGCATCCCTCCACTGCAGATGGCCGACAGCAATCTTCTTGGCACACATCTTTTCCACCACATCCATATACTCATCAGACTATTTATAATTCGCCCTCTTTGTAGTATTCTTATCATTCTCCACCATATGGCTATACCTTGATTCCTCCACATAATCATGCATATTGTTACATCGCTACACCAGGTCAGCAGTCACAGGGCCATATGGTGATACGCCCATCATCTGCTCTATTTGCTTCACCACTAGCTGGATCGCATACATCTAGATTACAGCCATCCGGATTGCAACAGAGGTCTGGATCGCAATAGGGTTCTAGATCGCACCTATCTTCATCAGCGACTCTATCTCCCTCTCCACAGAGTGCGTCTCCTAGCATTTCAGAACTTCGCCTTCGGGATTAGTAGCGTTGAGCCAGATGCCTCCCTTTCTACGCACACTTCAGATACACATGAGAATGATGATCCAGATGCAGTGCGGTATGATCGTTATCATAGGATGATCACTAGGCCTGAGGGAAATGGGTAAGATTTATTTATTACTTCTTTTTTCTGAATTATAATAGCAATTCTTGTTTATTTAATATAATTGCTATATTGCAGGTTCATACCTAGTCATCAAACTATAAAAATAATCACTGAAGCCATTGGCTGGTTGTATGATGTACCACCCTATGTGACTTGGAGTGATTTTCCACCGGAGCCCGTACAATAAAATTTTAACCAATTTAAGGTTTTAATATAATTTTTATCTATTTAAGCGCTATATTAACAATATTTTCATCTAACTTTACACACTTTATTTGCAGACTAAGTGTGCTTGGGAGGACCGACATAACAGTGCAATTCTTACAAATTTTGAGTTCAAATATCTTAAGAGACTAGCCGATGCCTTCTGTTCTGTTCGGAACAAAAAACAAGAATCCTTCATTGGGTTCTACCCATTTATGGGAGGATCTATTGAGGCAGTGGACCACCGAGGATTTTGAGAAGAAGAGTGAATAGGGTAAGAAGACCCCGAGTATCTTAGAAGGGTGGCTCCTTGCACTGTGTGGGTGCAAGGAGCGTGGGGACTGCGAGGAGACTACTGGTAATTCTTTAAAGCATTTAAATCTGTTTTTATCGAACTATATTTATTTCAATTTAGTTAACAAGTTCTATTATATTTTTAGGAAAAAAATATGGGAGGAAGCTGACTCACGATAAGTTCTTCATGGAGACTCATATTCGGAAGAAGAAGGTACCGACGAATCCAAGTAGATGGGTTGAGGACCGGGGAGACTACCTATGTAAGTTTCATAACTATTATAAATTAAAATTTAAGTTTATAATATTATAGAGTTAATAATTTTCTATCTTCTAAAGAAAGGGTCGTTATAAGACTACTCTGGAAGAGTACAGTCAGAGTCAGCCACTGAATGAGTAGGGCGACCCAGCTTCTATTTCAAACGAAGAAGCGCAGAAGCTTTGGTTGGATGTTATCGGTGGTCCTAAAAAGGGGATAGCATACGGCCTTCCAGAGAGATCATTTCGACGCTACAAGGCTGAATTGCAAGTATACTGACTTTCGTGCAGGGCGAGGTACTTAATAGGTCGACTCTCTCGGTTATGGAGAAGAAGATCACAAAGTTGTCATTGAAGAGGTAAAGGCTAGAGAAGAAAAGATAGATCAACAATTTAATACCCTTCAAGGTTAGGTGGCCAATCTTTTTGTTAGTGGAGCTTTCCCGATTCTCCGATCTCGTGAGTCTTCCCAGATGCTACTCCTTCTCATCCTGATCGTTCGAACCGTGCCGATGATGAAGCTTCTAGTAGTGGAGATGATGCAGTACAAAACACTCCTTGAATGGTGTTTGTAGTATATGTGAAGTCTTTAGCTTGTGAATAGTTTATTTGTTGGAAGTTTTGCAACTCTATAAATGTTGTTGATATAGTTTTGATATTGAATTGTTTTGTTATAGTTATTGTTGTTATTACTGTTATTGTTGTTATTGGTTGAATGGAAGCAATGCCATTATAGGTTGTTATTAGTTGTTGGCAGATGGTTCAGCTGTAAAACAGTAATATACTGCCAAATTTTTACCCAAAAAATCGACCGCATACCGATCGAAGTCGGTCGAAAATGTGAATATTAAATTTTCAAAAATTTAAATTTACCGACCGATTTCGGTAGGTATCTGCAATGAATAATCTCTAGGATTTAAAATTATCGATCGGAATTTGTGTTTATAAATTTATTATATTTTAATAATACCGACCGATTTCGTCGGAAAGATATAAAAAAATTATATCTAAATAAATAAATAATTAAAAATTATGTTCCAAAATACCGACCGATTTCGATCGGTATTTTTACTTTTTCAAGAACTTGTGTATGTTAATTTGGTCAACTTTTGGTTAAATTTACCAACCATCATCGGTCGCTACACGTTAGCGACCAACCTTTTTTCGACAAATTGAAGTCCGTCGAAAATCGGTCGATTTTCTTTTATTTCCGACCGATTTCGGTCGGTATTCTTGGACGCTTTTGGCAGTTTTCTAGTAGTGTGAGGCATATCTTTTTCTTTTGTAAAAGATACCAAGAATACAAAATAATACTCTACTTCCTTCTGCTGAATTTTCTATCAAGAATAATTTTTTATTAGTTTTTGCTCCTAGTTTTACACTAGAAGAGCTTGTTGAATATTGGGGAATATATTTTATTGTTGAAATATCTTTAAGGACAATGCCTTTTACACGCATCAAGCTTTGAAGTCCATAATTTTTTGTGACTTTTTCCAACAAATCCAAAGTAATCAGACATGTAATCGTTGAATCAGGGTTTGATTTCATGATTTTTTGTTTCCAGTTGTCAACAGCATTTCGTCAAAGAAATCAAATCTTACGACATTAGGAAAAATGCCATGATACCAGGCTGATGCCAATTTTGGGTACTGATCACAGAGCTAACGTTTTGGCTGCAGGTTCGGGCTATGTTCGAAATTGAAATTCTCTTAGGACACATTAATATTCATTTTACAGTCATTGTCATTTGCCACTAAGGAACTGTGAAATATTGATACTCATATCTAATTAAAAAAACTCGAATTTGCCTATGTTCTCACGCTTCTTGCAACTAATATCGATAAATGAGTTCGTACACCTAACCACTTTGGTCCACACCAATGCAAGTTAATGTACCATGTACATAGTTCCTACAAACCTAAACCCGCAATTATATTGCAAGAATTAACAAAAAATGGTAGAATTGACCTAATCATTTTCACTAAGGAACTGTAAAAATATTATTGCAAAACATGATCAGACAAACGGAGTTTTATTAGTCATTGGCATATCAAGATTGAGAGAAATTCCTCCAGAATTTATTAATTTCTGAACAACTTTGAAATTGTCTTTCTAAGACCAAAGACCAAATTTCAGAAACAGAAAAGCTGATCTTACCTTGAGAACTAGCTCAAATTTGAGCTTGTCAAATGTCATGGTCTGAAAATTCACCTAAGCAAACGTCACAATCAAATGGCTCCTTCAAACCCATAATTATATCCTTATAGAAAAAGCTAGACAGGGAAAGAATAAATGATTTAGAGCAGAATCATGTAGAAGAGAGAGCTATTGAAACTGCCTTTATAGGGCATGGGAACATACCAAATGTTTCTAAAAAGGGTTAACTCTCTAAATAGAGTAATAATATACTCAACGGTAAAGTAATAGGTTCCTGGTTCTCTCTCTTTCCTTTGTTTTATTAAAGAAACAGATTCCTAATTCTGATTCAATATTCCTCCTAGCTTTTTGCACACTTATAATATAAAATTTATGTTGGAGGGTAGAATTCCAGGTCTCAATCCCTTCCCTGATCCGACATGTTTTGTTATAAACTATTTTAAAGCTGCAGTTAATACAACAATTTTTGTGTGGTACGTGTAGTGTCATTGGCGCAACAATAATAGTAATAGGTTAGTACTGTGGGCACAATCCAAAGAGGTAGACGAGAATGCAGTCAATCAAGATGATAGTGCAGCAAGCTCAGCCACTGTTGGACACCCCCACTTTTGCGCAGTTGTGAGAGTGCATTACAATCTTTGGACCATTTTTTATTGACTCCTAGCGCAGCGGTTATGCTAATCTTTTTTTATAGTTTCAGATGTACCCCAAAGGACTAACATCTGATATCTTTGCCAAGGTAATACAAGATGAAAGAAACCATTCAGCCTCCATTGCATGGAAGTTCATTTACAATGCCAAGGGCGAAATTTGAGAAAATTAATATATATTCTTCAACTTAGTAAAACCCAATTCTGGTGTAGGAACTATATGGGCTTGTGATCTGTAAGCAAAGCAATATAGATGGGAGTACATTTTCCTTTTTAACGTATATATGTTCTCAATTTTAGAATGGAGAACATTTTGTTGAATACTCTTTTCTTTTCCGGTCAAATCAGCTGTGGGTATTAAACCCTTAAACATGATAAGTGAAATTTGTTACCCTAGATTTAATTTGTTGAATGGCTAACTCATAGCAAGAGTTTTTTATTGTGAAATTGGTAGTTCATTATATTTGGCTTCTAATAAATAGTGTCTCACGTTTTTCTTAACTTTTTAAACAAAGAACGAGACTTTGTATTAGAATTGAAATATCATTTTTAAGACCGAACTGAAAATACCAAACTGAAATCTTTCAAAACCGTTTCAAATAGAAACAACCCTAGCAGCAGCCACACGATGGCAGAAAACACAACAGTATTGTAGACCACTATATCCAACATTTGCTCCAAACTCTACACCCTTTGGATCCTCAACATAAACCAAAGTATTCTTTTCCTAGCTCTCAAGAATAATTTGGTTCACAAATAATGGCTAGAAGGTAAAACACGGTTCTCGCAACACTATTGATAATATAACCTTGAACTAGTCTTATCTGTGAATCAGACTAAAGCTAAAGTTAGGAACCAAGTGAATTTAAGGTACAATGCAACTGCATCAAATAAAAGCATGGCAGATGGACGCTCTAGAACCAAAATTTGGTGTCAGCCTCTTTATATTTATGTAATTGCACAAAAAAAGAGGGCAGAACTGCCAAGAAAGATGATTGGCAACAAAGAACATAAAAGGCCTTCCATTTCTCGGTCCAGAAACCCAACCTCCACTGGTTATATGTTTTGGTCCAGGATAAGACAATTTATCTGCAGTTGCTGGGTATTGCAGATTTCAAGCCTTCCTACAGTTAAAATATTTACAGAGAGGAAACTCATCTGCGTCCACCCAGACAAAATCGCTGACCAAAGTGCTCATAAACCCATCGAAGTTCTCCTTCCATTCATACACCAAAAGAAATGGTGGTTAGAGTAAACGTAATCGGACACATCACATAGCCTCGAGAGCACACTAGAAGCTGACACTTTGAGGAGCCCAACAGAGTCCATCCTCCAATAACTGCAACGAGCAAAGAAAAAAGACAGTCATACCAAAGACGAACAAATATACTTCACCATGCTTAAACCACCAACCAACATCAACACCAAAATATGGTACTAAGAGGTATGCATGTATTCTAAGCAGAGGAACAGCTCAATCAACACTTCAAAACATTTCTTTCCACTTATAAAATCAACCCTTCCTCTCTTATGTATGAGGCGTATAGTAACAGCATACTGAGTTTGGATATTCAGGAGGGACAAACACCAGTAGTGTAACTTGATAATACGATAAAGATCCCAAATGTTATCAAATTTTTGGGATTCTTCATTTTCTTGCAATCAATGCAAACTACAATGAAAAGAAAAAGTGCTGCTGAAAACCTACATATACTTTGCATGTATACGTGCCCGGCGGAAGGGACACGATTTTTAAAAAAGAGCAAGAATTACAAGGCAAAGGAATTTACAAAAACAAACAAGCAGCTCAACCACAGCTTGTGACGTGCAATTTAAGCACAGGCCTAGAAACTAATCACATTCAGCCTTTATACAACATGAGAAACAAAGGAGCTTACAGTCTAAATCATAAAGAAGACAATCATAAACACAAGAAATGAAACTCGCATCACCTTGAAAGTCGCCAAGGTCGCAGTTATTTTGTGTTTCTACTGCCATGATGATTGCTTGAACCTGAAGCTCTCGCTGTCCCATCCTCCCTCAGGTTCCTTCCTCTTCAGTAGACCCCCAGCCACAGGATACATCATCCCATGCTCGTCTGCATGTGCCTGTGAGCCAGCAACAGAAAGTTGCCTTGATGCCAACGGAACTGACTCTTCTTTCCCGTCCAAGTCCATAGCTCCAGGACCTGCATTCAGATCCAGACCTTGCCGGCTCCGTTTTCTGTTGTGGTCTCCGGCTCCATTGCTGTTAACGTCAGGAACTGCAACCACATAAGGCCTTGGATATTGAGATGACACAGCACCTACATGTCCCAGTAACTGTGAATTCACAGGCGGAGTAAAAAGCCTTCCACCAGAGGACGAATCAATATAAGAGGCTGATCCAACTGCATATGTTGCAGAAGGAAGTGGGAAAGTGGTTCCAAAAGGGAACACAGGATACTGGAAAGGCGAAGGTGAAAATTGCACAGCAGGTGATGATGACAATACTGAACCCCTGAAAACATCTGGAGTGAAGGGGAGACCAGCAGCAGCTGGACCTAACATTCGCGGGGCACCAGATGGGGTTATTGGAAACGGCGGCTGCTCCCCACGATCAGACAAAATTGATGGAATTGTCATAGTTGAGTAACTATTCCCAGGAGCAAACCAAGACGATAAGTTTCCCATTTCTGGATTGTTCATTCTGAGGCTAGAAGCATTAAATTGGGAACGCAAGATTCCCTGATGACTCTGGTAGAATAGAGGCTGTTCCACACTTGAATCATCAACACCAGGCCCGTTATTTAAATCAAAGTCCCTCCTGACTTCTACAGTTGGTAAGCCGCCGGATGAAATCGATTTTGAGGGTAACACTACACCCTCTAATCTATGACTGCTACTCAAGGAGCATTGCCCTACATCATTAGGTTCATCAACTCTATTCAAATCAAGATCGAGTCCCCCAGAACTATGAACAGCAGGAGAATCTGGGTGTTTACTTTTTGATGCAACAAGATCAGTTATATGGTCCACCGCAGATACTATCGCTAGAACAGAATCCCGAGAATTTATGTCATCAAAGGTTCTTTCATCTGCTACATTCAGATCAATATCTAATGGAGGCCGACCATGCTTGCTAGTAGAAGCTTCAGAAAGAGAGATGGCCGTGGAACATGAATGCATGTCAAGTGCTTTTCTGGGTTCAGCTGGACGAAAAGCACTTGTGGCTGCTGATCCTTTCCATCCAAACTCCCCTTTGACTCTCAATAGATCTTCTGGTGGGACAAAAGGTCCTTTGGCAGCAGCAGCCACCGTAACAGAAGCAGGAAGACTACTGGAAACAGAAGAGACAGCAAATGGCAATGGGCTCATTATATGGACATTTGACAAACACCCAAGGCCTCTCGAGTTGATTGGCTCCCCATATTTCCCCTCATCAGAAATGAAACCTTCATTTAAGTCAAACTTCATCTTTGAAGCTGAATCTGGAGCGGCAGCAGCAGAGCTGGAAGAAGTTTCCCCCTTGGTGGATGCACAGTCCTTTGTTCTATCTGCCTCTACACCAGAGTATTTAAATTCTCTTGATTCCACAAATTTCTCCACTTCCGCATTAGAAAATCCAGGTGCCTCTTTAGTAAATAATCCGCCGCCAGGATCATGTGCAGGAATATCGTTATTTTCGACACTAGGTTCATCCTTTATCAGATTTCTTCTAGCTAAATTAGATTCAAATATGGCTTTATCCTCAATAACAGAAGCATCAACCGCTTCTTGATCAGAATTTAGCTTTTCTACCTGCTTAGTATTTTTTGCATCTATTTTATCAGGCTGTCCACCTTGGCGTGCAACAGAATCTCGACTAAAACCAGTTGGTTGCAGCTCTTCCTTGTCACTTCCCTCTGTAGGTTCAGATTTTGCCACAATCGAAGCTGGTTTCAGCTCTGTACTAGCAACACCTAACACCCTACTCACCTCATTTTTGTGGTCGCCTTCAAATTTAGAAGTGGAAACTTCAACTGGTCGTTTTAAGTCTTCCATGCTTAAAAGGGCATTAGTGACTTTGTCTTCTACTATTGAACTACCATGTCCATCTAATTCAGCATCTAGAACACCGTCAAAAGTCTTAGTGGAAACCACTTTTTCCTCCTGGAATTGTTTGCTCTGTTCACCATCACTGGTCCTTTCTGATACACTGCAAGGAGAAGCAGCAGACTTTTCCATCTCACCCAACTTCCCATTAACATCTGATTTTAAATCTCCAGCTGTCTGCGAACCAATGCAGGAAGAGTTGAAGCACTCTCCCGTAGTTTTTTCTTCAGAAGGAGATGAAGTGGGTCTTCTATCTCCGGTAAACTCCGTCACTGCACTTCTGTAAGCATGTAGTTTGCCCTCAGACCACGAAGTACTAGCAGCAATTAACTGTTTCTCTTTACCACCATTACCATCACCGTCATTTTGCCCAATAAGGTCACCAGAAGAACTATCTACAGGAGATGACTTTGACTTAAGCTCATCACCTGTGCCAGTCTCTTCACCTGAAGGACTTTCTCCTTGTGGAGAAATAGAAGGTGAAACCCTCTCTGACTTGGACATTTCTTCAGTAGCCACACTGGCAAGCAGATTCATTCCAACAGCATCACTTAGTGACATGGACGTGTTTGCTTCAGAATATTTTACACAACTCTCAATCAATGCATTCATGGAGCTGAAAGAAGCTTCGTGCAGTTTCGCTGACTTCAGTTCCGTTCCTGATGATGAAGAAGCAGCTTTTGCAACTTCAGCTGATTTCCTGCCCTCACCAACAGTTTTACTTCGCTCTTCCTCCGGAATAGCAACAGGTGATCCATCACCTTCGTCAGATCCAGTGAGAACATCTTTCAAGACATTGCTCTGCCATGATTCTCCATTCACGTCAAAAGTAACATTTGATCGATATGCATCAGTCTTCTCCTTAGAATTACGATCAGGCTGATCATTCTTTTCGGAAAACGCAGGAGAAGAAGCTCGGCTGCTCATGATGGTAGGGTCTTCATATGATCCTCCACTAGCACTCCGGGCAGGACTGCGACCCTTGTTAGAAATCTTAACTATCAATTTGTGACTACTCCCCTCAACAGCAGGCACATGAACTGTTTTTTCACCACTCAATGCAGACTGCAGCAACTTATCAGTGCTAGGGTTTCTGTGCAATGAAGAATTTCTGTTTGTAGAACTTTCTTTTTGACCTCCAGATACTGATGATCCATGACCACCATTTATTGATTTGCGGTGCCGAGAACCACCATTAGAGATCTTGATGCTGCTCATTGACACTGCAGTTGAACTCCTTGCGTCCTCTTTCCCTGAGAAGGATTGACTGTGATTGTGAGACTGGCTAGAACTGCTGCTTTTATCTTCCTTTGCTAGATGAACATCACAGTAACCAACAGCTGAAACTCTTGGCTGACCCACTTTTCCAGATGAAGGAGATGATGCTTGTTTTATGGAGCTTGGGGATAAGGACTCAGACTTTATGCTAGTTTCCATTGGTGTAGGCTTAATTGAGGTCGTTTTAGATGCAGAAAACTGTGTAACTAAGCTCTTTGTTGCATCACTAGAACCACCAGGATTTTTGTTGCCGCTATGAGAAGCCTCGGGCAACCGTGATCTTGAGGGCCATGTGACAGCTTGATTTGAACCAGACTTAGCATCAATGACGTTCATTTCAGCTTCTACACGTTTCTTCCATGTGTCAACTAAGCTCCGTGCCTTTCTCTGGATCTCAATGTTTTTATGTTGGCGCAAGTGATTAACAGATCTACCAATATTGCACATCTGTAGTGCTTGAAGATTCACAGGAAGCTTATCAAGTGCACGCAGCAAAACCAAGAGAAATTCCTCAACTGGTTTATCACCGTCCTTACTATTACTAAATTCAACAATCCTTCCTTTACGAACATCTTGAAGCCACCCATCTAACACAGGCAAACCCTTTAGCTGCACAAACCTGTCAAGGCAGTCAAACTTGTCAGTCGCAGCTACAACACTTGCAAGCATTGAACGACTAATCAAATCCATTTTCCTGTCCAATCTATCTGGTTGCATGAGCTGAACAAGTTTTGCAGCCCCTTCATTGTCCACAAGCCCTCCTTCTTCCGTTATTTTAGAAATTTCAGATTTCAAGATGCTTTCACTATCATCAGATTTAACTGAACGTTCACGCTTAATAGATTCAGAACCCTGTTCTCCCCGCTCCCTTTTCTTTCCCTTGACTTGTGGAGGAAAAGAAGTTACACTACTTTGTACATTATCAGAACCAGGTTTCAATTGTGATGATGATATAGGGCCATTCATTGGTTTAGGAGAACGACCACCAGGCTGCACTGTTGCATGCATCTCTGCTCGTGTCTTGTATAACAGCTGATCTACCTCTTCTTGTAGCTCCTATAGAGGAAAAATAATATTCAATAAGTGAAACATTATGTGTAAAGTACNCGTAAAGTACAAAGTTAAGGCCTGAAAGATTTGCAATTCTCTTGTTCTCACCATTTCAAACACCTGCCCCGCAAAGAGTCCCAAAATCCTTCTTTGACAAAAAAAAAAAGATCCAAGAACAAGACAGACTCTCTTTCCCTTTTTCTTTCAACATTTCAACCCCCATTTATCTATTTTATCAATAATACAATTTACCTTTTGGTAGTTTAGCAGAGGAATACTGAGCTGTGAAGGAATGATATGATAACTTACGTTAATAAAATCTTGATCAGTTAACCACCATAAACACTTGTTTTGAATGTCATAAACCCGCCTGCAGACAAATGAGGATGTTCCTGTTGGAAGTTCAGCCCCTTTAGGAAGGAATGCAACTTTACATGGATGGAGTAATGATGCAGCTGGAATCTCATCCCTATGGAAGGAATAAAAGATTTCGTTGGGTGTGGTGTCCAGCAGGATGCCTTTGCCAAGCTTCAGCTCAGCAGGACGATAGAGCCAATTAAGACCTAATTGCAAATTATTATCTTGACTCAATGTTAGTCTACGGATTATTCCAATGAAAGGTGGTGAATCATGTGGTGGTTTAAACAAAGCGCAATCTCCAACACTAATTTTGCGACCGTCCTGCATAGAAAGATAACATTCACTTCACCAAGAAAACCCGATAAACAGTAGACATGCCACAATCAATTGACGGAAATATAAGCAAACTACAAAAAGCATAGAAACAAAAGCGAACTACACAGAGATGAGTAAATAAAAGAACTAGAAAGAAATAGGGAAAGATGTTGATAGGGCTGGAGGCATGGTAAAGCGGAAAACCCTTTATCCTCATCGTTCTGACTTTGTGCAAACATTTATGGTAACACACGCTTCCATGATTTTCTAGGTACGCTCTGATATTGACTACTTCATCAGGTATAACCAACACTATCAACACATATACGCAGAATTTGGAGAACACTGGTTTGAAATGCACTTGCAATTTAACTGCTTACGTTATTAAAGCATCTCTTCACCCAACAAGCAAATTAACAGAGCAGCCAACAGCCATACATAACCTCCAATCAAGCTTACAAGATGAATAAGTGCGGATGTGAACCTAGTGATACATTTGGGACTGAAATGTAATTGTTGTTACTGTGTTGTTTGTTGCTGAACCTAGTCAGAGGAGACTATTTAGCGTGGTTCCAAGGGCAGTCAATTAGTAACATGAGGGCATTTAATTAGTAAAACTGCTACCTGTATTGCTTCCTAAGGATTTATATGCTAAAATCTTAAATTTCACCAAGTATTATATTTAGTCAAAGCTCATTTTGATCCCATTTGTTCTGTAACCATGTCCATATACATGGAGTATGTGGAGGGCAATGTGACCATGCACATCTTTTCTTGATGAAGAACCATGCACATCTTTTCTCATGATCAACTAGAACAGAAAAAAGAAATCACATCAAAGTTGGTGCCAATGTCTTCAGGAACATATTGATAAATATTCGTAGAAGAGACACAAATGAGTTCCAGAAAAGAAAGTTAACATTTCTTAAATTTTTCCCCACAGTTGAAACCAACACCATCGGCCTCTCCTTGCCGGAAAGATCAAAAGAAACCGAAGTTGGAAGCACCCAACATCATCATTTGGAATAAAGTACTAAAACAAAATGTGTTCCCATAATTATTCCACTTACGAAGTACCCCATTGTGCACCTATCCGGGAAATATAACCAAAAAAAAGCTACTCGTGAATATGGAATGCAATTGAATGATCATATTTATTAGTATTTAACACTGCGACAAGCCTCTAAAGCTCAACTGATACTACCGCCAAAAAAAGGGGGAAAACTCCAACTGGAACAAAAATCACATACAACCCCACCCCCAGCCCCCAAAAAAAATCTGCTTTGCGCAGCTAAAAACAGTGTAGGAACAGGTACTGTGATGCAAAACACTTTATCAATACTACTGGACATTTTAAATCACCTATCACTATTACAGAACTCTCGTCAAAAGAGAGAAAATAAGGCAAAATCGAAAAGACCCACCAAGGTAATACCTTGCAAAAGGAATCAGCAGTAACAGTAGAAACAAGAGGAGAATCACCGGCGGCTACAGTCCTCCTTGTAATCGTCGCCGGCATGTGCTGACCACCACCACCACCACTCCTCCTTTTACAATCCCTCTGTATCCTCCCAATCCCATGCATAATAAAATTCCCCTTGCATTTTCCCCTATTCCTTCCCCCTCAACCATCAATTATACCATCCAATTCCTCTAACCCTAGTTAAAAATCCCCAATTTCCTCAACCCTCAAAAAACCGTCGATCGCTCACAAAATATACAAAAACCCTAGCTTCGTTAACTCAATTTCAACAGCAAAACATCAATTCACCGATCTGCAACCATCAATAGTAGATCCAATTAATTCAATTCATAAGCAACATAACAGTAGTTGCGTGTAGACATATACCGGATATATACAGCTAGAATACAATAAAAATACAAACCTTTTATAAATTTACAACAGAGGGTAGTGAAGTATTCAATTTAACAAACGAGAGAGAGAGAGAGAGAGAGAGAGAGAGAGAGAGAGAGAGAGAGAGAGAGATGTCGCGAGAGAGTAAAGGGAAAGTTGGGGTTGTAGAGATAGAGGAATTTCGGGAGAGCGGGCAGGGATGGGCAGAGAGGGCAGGGCATTGATAACGCTGCCCCACGGACGAGTTAAAAAGACTGAAATGTTTGTGACTGGTCTGCTACTGGTGAAGATGTGACTCGACTGACTAAAAACTCCAAAACTAAAATTAAACTGAAAAGGTCCCCTCCCCTGTACTATAAAACTACCCTGCCACCTCCTCCTCTTTTTCCGAGTCCCCAGATTGGAGTTTTCTCTGCAGTGAGAAATTGTGAAAACTTATATAGTATATAGTTTGATTCCGAAATTATTCTAATCGACCCCTTAGAGTTATGAAGCACATGTTATATTTTCCGGCTGAATTATTATTAACGAAAAGTTGTTATAGTAATAACCACATAAAAAAAAAAGAATTAATATTTTCTTTTGTCCACTTCTTTACTCGCAATATTCTATTTGTAATGTAATAGTTTCACATTAAATAAAGTCTAGGAAATTAAGTACTTTCCAAATTCAATGCCTCTTTGAGGGTAAATTCTATATAATCATGTGTGCATGTGGAACAACGCTTCAAAAGTAGTTAAGTGACCATTTTTAGCATTAACGGATTGATTAATAGTATTAAGTTAGTATCTATTGACACATGATAAAAAGAACCATAGTAGTATAATAGATAGGAGTAATACTTAACGTTTACTGAATTAAAATTGTGTATTGTCTCTTTTGCTAAGTGGTGCTGGTTCGGAGAGATGAGTTGACAGATGTGGGGATGTGTTGACTTTTATTTTCCAAAGAAAGCAACTCTATTTCTTTCTTATTATTCGAATTCGATTGGCATCAGATTCATCCAATTGTCTCTTCTGCTTCTGTACGCAGAAGAGCAAAAAGGACAATTTACCATCATCATAGGGGGGCAGATATGTAATTTGGCGGCCAGGTTCATGATTAAAGGGTAAAACATTTGCCTATGTCGAAGTTGCCATTTATTTATGATAATAAAATAATAATAATACGATGGGGAAGAATAAGTTGGTAGTAGGAGAACATTCAACAAAATGTTGTCCTTACTTGTCCTTCCAATGACTTTCCAAATCTTGTTTAATTGTTGCTTTCTCTCCCTCTATTTATTTAAACAATCCTTACCGAAACTTGAAAAAAGAGTTTTTGAAATTGTGTTGAAAAATAATTTTTGAAAGTTGAAGTTGGGTTTGGGTATGCATTTTATTTGAAGAAAAATTGAAGTTTTGTGAATGGAAGAAAAAATTTCACCCAAAAAATGTCCTAAATCAGTTTTTGGGAACTTGAAAATTTTTAAAGTTTTTTTTCCCAAAACATGATTATATTTCATAAACAAAAAATATTTTCAATTTTATTTTGAAAATCTATAGTCAAACAGGGACTTATGAAGATGAAGTTACAATGGGGAGTAGGAAACTTAATAAATTAGGAAGAAATAAATAGCTTTATGGAATAAAAATTAACATTAACAGTTAGAATAGACGAGTTAATTAACATTAACCTCCCACCACTAATTCACCTTCTCTTGTTAGTTGCTGCAATTCACCCACAAAAGAAGAATCATGTTCATCCATGTCCATAGTGAAAGCATCAGAATTATGACTTCCACCACGCTTTTTTTTTTTTTTTTTTGATAACCGTGGTGTCCGGGACAGCTTGCGCGCACCTCGACTAATTCCACGGGATACCTGCCACCTCCCACCAGCAACAGGTACCAGGTAACTCTATCTACCAAGGCTTGGATAGACAGGAAGAAATCACCTAGTATTTGCCTCCGCTGGGATTTGAACTTGAGACCTCATGGTTCTCACCCACTTCATTGACCACTAGGCCACACCCTTGGGTGCGACTTCCACCACATAGAACTTATAGATGCATTTCTCCTTGCTTCTTTTTGTAACATGAATATTGTTATTAAGCATGGGGTTTGAATAGCTCAAATCCATTTGCAAATACATAACAGACTAAATAATTAAATATGCAGCTGTGGAAGTTGCAGCTATTTGTTCGACAAGATCACTGGCACTATAGATGTTGCAGCCTTCCTAAATAGAAATCAGTTGCAGCATTGGAGTCAATCCACCAGAGTGTTCCAAACTGATTCAGCTTATAAATACCCATATTAACAACTTCTCTGATTTCATTTAGCTTGTCACAGCTACAGCATCAACATAAACCTTTTAGGCAAAAAAATGAAACCACATGTCTTTAGTATATCATGTATCAGTTGAATTTCCGTTCAGATGTAGGCATAAAAGTACATGTCAAAAAAATGTAGGCATTAAAGATGCAAAAGAAGGGAAGAATAGTCCTAAAGAAACTACTCTGACAATCAATACACCAGCTTTACAAAATGCATTTAGAAGTACTGAGTATGCAACAACATAAAGAGATACCACTCCAGCGTTTCCACAAATAAGGGTAAAACTTTTCCAAGTGACCTCATCGTCCACTTCCCTTCTGTTAACATTTTATATGCAATGTAATTAAAAGATCAAGTTCGTTTCTGTTAAAAGGACATAGGAAGAAGTCTCTTACTCTTCCTGTTCAGTAGTCAGTTGTACCCTGGAAGAAGTCTGTTGCAGCACATATTACATTTCTAAAAAGAAGTCTCTTGCAGCATAAAGTGCATCTAACTTCAGTATACTTTTATTGTCAATTACTTTCTCATCTTCTGAATGTATGTTGGTCACTCCAGTACTTTCAGAATATAAAGCTACACTATGATTATTCACATTTCTTGAATCGTCCAGATCTTCCAACTTCTCATTTTTCATGCTTCCAACTACCAGATTAACCCAGAAAGGAGAAATATAATGCATAGAAAGCTTTCAAATGAGTAGATGGTGATGCATTGAAAGTAGAACACACCCTTAAAACCACCAGGAAATGTGGAATGAAATTTCTGCAGCTTCCCTTTCATCCTCTGCAACTACCTCTTAGATCCCACCAGACCATGTGAATTGAAACTTCTGCAGCTTTCCTTTCATCCTATGCACGTACCTCTTTAGTCAAAAGTGCTGTTGATTTCTCACCTCCAAAATGGGTGTGAAATTTGAAAGCTAAGTAGCATTTAGGTCCTTCAGTAATAGCTATAATCAATAAGCAAATGGAAACGAAAAATTCAGAACCTGAAAGCAAACACTAGGGAAATAAATATTGAAATCCTGAAACCAAACAGAGTTATACATTCATGATGTTTCATCGATTTTCTTTTTGTATCTGACATAAAATCGATGCTTTTTAAGCTTTTAAACCTTTGTTTGTCACAATGAAGTTTCTAACAGAACAATCATATCGTGAGTTTTCTAAAGCTCACAACCATTTACACAATCTCTTATGATTGGAGCTTCTTCCTTTAAATAACAACAACAACAACATACCCAGTATTATCCCCACACCCCGGGGTCTGGGGAGGGGTAGTGTGTACGCAGACCTTATCTCTATCTTGTTGTTTCCAGTAGTCTTCCTTTAAATAACACCCTAAAGAAAACACACATAAAAAGAACACGGACGAACAGCAAATGGATTCATGATTCATACTAAGCAAAGATAAATCCAGGAAAACTGAATGGCAATCTGAATACGGAGATAGTAAAGTAAAGGATTTCATATTATTTCCTATGGAAGCATGAAAGAACGTGGTCATAGATTGTTAAGTATGACATTGAAAAAATCTAACAGCAGTCAAATATCATGTCAGGCCATGATACCAGCATTACAAAAACCTGCCCATGTTCCTTAACAGGTTAAACTATGGGACCAAAACTGAAATCCTTTCTTGGAACTTGCGGTTAGCAGTTTGGATAAAACTAAATGACTCCCTCATTCAATGGCCACGAGCAACATATGCAAGAGAAATTGCAGCAAAAAGTGTTGTTGCAGAAGATAACATGGTCCAAAAATTCTTCTTCTTTTGTGCTTGTGCTACCGAAAGCTGTAGGAACTCAACCTGTCTCTTCATCTCATCTACTTTGTTCTCTTTACTCTTGATTGCATTCGTGATGGCCTCCAACTCTGCTTCATAAGGCTTGACATCTTCCTCATTCATTTGTTTTTCACCAAGCACATTGCCATTTGCTCCTTGATCATTCGAGCAGATTGAACCTGCAACAGTCCTCAAAGCATTCAAGATTTCCTCGGAACTACTGTTTGCCAATACAACCTTGCACTGCATATCACTGATTTCCTTCTGTGCTTCGCCAAGTGAAGTTTGCACATAAGCAATTTCCTTGTTCAACACTTGGCATCGAGTTTCCATCTCTTTCTTTTCTCCAACCACATTGAGGTAATCAGCCTTGGTTCGTTCAACCTCCTTAACGATTTCTTGAATGTGTTTCTCCATTTCTTCAATCTGTTTCTTCAAGTTCATGACATCCTGTTTCTCATCATCAAAACACTTTTGTATCTCATCCTTCTCAAGTGCAACTCGCTCGAATGCAGCCCTATACTTCCCAACTTCAGATTCCAAATTCTTCACTTTCTCTTCTTGACCATTGCAGGACATCTCTAATTCAGAAATAACATCCTTGAATTCAACTAATTGTTTCTGCAATTCAACAATTTCAGCATCCCTCCCAACTTTTGCCTCTTCCATCTCATTCTTCTCTGTTACAGTTTGCTCGATCTTCTTCTTCTCTTCATCTAACTGCTTCAATGCCTTGTCCAATTCCTTCTCAACAAAGCCCTTTTCTTCAATCAAACTCTCAACTCTGCTCTCTTTCTCATTGTTTCCCTTCACAAGTTCATTAATCTTCTTCTCCATCTCCTCTTCCTTCCTCGATCCTTCCACACACTTGTTCTCTAACTCAGCCAAATTTTCACGCAATTTTGCCTGCTCCTTTTGCAAACTCAGCACAGTCTCATTGAGACCAGTGACTGTGTTCTGCAACTCCCTGCTCTTCTTCGCTTCGCCCTTTCTCTCCCCTTCAATCCCTTCTTTTTCCCTAACAATCACATCAATCTGTCCTCTCAGCTCATCAATCTCCTTATTCGAATCAAACAACATTTTCTCAACTAATTCCTTCTCTGTCAGCATCGACTTAATCTTGCTTTCTCTGTCCTTGATTTCCTCCAAAAGGGCTTTGCATTCAACACTTAATTTCCCAGCTGCTAGTTCAATTCCCTTCTCTCTTTTCTCAGTTTCAACCAACTTCACACTCAACCCATTTGCTTCCTCTATTTGAGCATCAAGTTTCGTTTTCATTTCATCCTTTTCCTTACGAATCTCCTCCGAAACATTTCTCTCACGGGCAACCTCATATGCAATAGCATTCAGTTTCTTCTTAAGGCTTTCAATCTCATTCTCCTTTTCAATCCTCGCCTTCTCAATCTCACCCTTCTCCTTCATAAGATCACTCATTTCTAACTCTAAACTCTCAAGTTTCTTCATAACCGCATCATTCTGTTTGTGAAACCCCTCCCTCTCCTTCTCAGCCACCTCAGCATGGTAACCAACCTGCACAGCGACAAACACGGACACCAGATTCTTGTCAATCTCCAACTGAACAACATCTTCATTCAGCCGAGTCAACTGGGCCTTCAACTCGTCCTTCTCCGAGTAAGACCTTTTGAGTTCCGATTCCAGAGAGCTTTTAGCGTGCGCGAGTGAGTCCACCTGTTGCCGTTTCTCAATGGTCTCCTTGAGAAGCATGTTATTGAGGCTCTTTAGGCTTTCAAGTTTCTCAGAAGCCTCTTCCATGGCTGCGGAGTGATTGTGTTCTTTCACCTCCTGCTGCTGCTTTTCCTTTCCCTCTTCAGTCTGGTGGGTGTGGGGGGCTGCCTTCTTTTTGGCCATTGTGAGTGTATTTTTTTGGGTTTTGGCTAAAGAGTTTTTGTGGTGGGTTTTGGTTTTTGGAAAATGAGATAAGAAGATTGATTGAGAGGTGAAGAGTTTTTCTAGGGTTTTGTTTCCTACGGCTCAGAGAAAATGCGTACAAATTTCAAAAAGTCGTGAATTTGCTAGGGTTTTTCTGAGGTTTTGAAATGGACTTTGGGCTAATACCCCCAACGCCAAACCAGGGACGTGGCACTCATTTATTGGTAGAAATCTTTATTTGAATTCAAATTTAGGAGGGCTCGGGAATCGAGGAGATAGGTTGGTGGAGATTGAATGAATTAATTAGTAAGAAATAAATGAACAAAATTTTAATTTATCTGAACCAATTTACTTTTTAGTCTGTGCTAAGAAAAATGAATCATTTCCTTATTTAAAAATAATTTACCTTTATGCAATGATTTATGATCACACAAAATATATGTGACTCATTTTACACCACAAGTTCAAAAGTTTTCTCTTTTTTCTTAAACTCCGTATGCAGACAAATGGGTTCACATAAATTGAAACGGAGGGAGTATAAGTTTTTTTCCCATAATAAAATTCTTATAAGTTGGGTATCCAACATTAACTGAATAACAAATCGGACTGAAAAATTAAATTAATTTCTAAAACATCAATATGTGCCTTGATTTGATATAATTTGGTATTTAAGTTAAAAGTTAGTAACGTGTAGAGTGTGTTTGGCATGAAGGAAAATATTTTCCATGGAAAATGTTTTCATGTTTTCTTGGAAAATGAGTGATTTTATCACTTATTTTTCATTGTTTGGTTGGTGAGTAAAAAGGGTTTTCCAGAAAATATTTTCTAGTGTTTGCTTAGTGAGTAGAAAATATCTTTTAGGACAATAAATTTTTATGCTACTTTCCTTATTCCCACCCTAGCCCCAAATACACAATGTTTTCAGTACTCTATTTTTTTTCAATAATTTAATCATTCTTTTAAAAAATTCACATAAACTCAAAGGGACTAATGTAATATTTTACTTTTTCACGCAAAAACAACGTTGAAATTTGTGTTACATAACTAAAAAGAAAATACTCTTTTTTGGTTGAAAAAAAAAGTACTCTTTCTACAACATGGAGAAAAAAAAAAGTACTCATTTTGTTAAAATGAAAGAAAATACTTTTTTCACATCATGAAAAGAAAATACTCATTTTGTTGAAATGAAAGAAACTACTTTTTACTACATCATTTTGTTGAAATGAAAGAAAATACTTTTTCTACATCATAAAAAGTAAGTACTTTTTTGTTGAATTGAAAGAAATTTTTTTTTTTACATCATAAAAAGAAAGTACTTTTTCGTTAAAATGAAAGAAAATACTTTTTACTACATCATTTTGTTGAAATGAAAGAAAATATTTTTTTTATATCATGAAAAGAAAATATTTTTTTTTTGTTGAAATGAAAGAAATATTTTTTTTACATCATGAAAAAAAATATTCATTTTGTTGAAATGAAAAAAAAAAGTATTCTATCTACAACATGAAAAAAAAGTACTTTTAATAATATTTTTATTTAAGGCAGGGGTGGGTGTGGTGAGGATGGGGTAGGGATGGGGTGAGGTGTGGAGGGTTGGCGGGAATGCGGAATAGGGTGGGGAAAATTAAGAAGAGTTGTGGAAAATATTTTTCTTCTTTTGATAGGAAAAATATTTAAGCCAACTAACTATGAAAAAATTAAAAAATATTTTTCTTCAAACCAAACATACCCTTAATTTGGTTTGGTATTACTTAATTAATAAGAAGTTACCGAAACTCAACTAAAACTTCTTTATTTATGAAGATGTTTGTTTGAGTTTCCGGAAATTGAAAGGAAAATCAGTTATCCATGTCGATAGTAGATGAAATTCAGAATACCTTAAATATGAATAAGCTCCACCACCAAAAACAAAATAGGCGCACATGTTCGTGTTAACTCTTCATCGATGAGGATTACTGGGGAAATACCATCAGTTACCAGGCGTTACCTACAAAATTTCGTTGGTACAAGATATATAGAAAAATCGTTCCTCCATAAAACCTAACCAATGGAGACTCTCAAGTAGCTATCTATGCCGTTTGGCCACAATTTTTTTTTTTTACTTTTTTGGAAAAAAAAATTATTTTTTTCGGAATCAGTGTTTGACCATGAAAATTTTAAAATTCACTTGAAGTTGAATTTTCGAATTTTTCGAAAATTTAAAAAACTCCATAAAACTATTTTTCAAAGTTTTCACTTCAAACCACTCACAAAAATTCAAAAACAACTCCAAATTATATTCATGTCCAAACACAACTCTAATTTTCAAATATCATTTTTACTTAAAAAAAAGTTCGCTTTTTTCCAAAATTTTTATGTCCAAATGCCCGCTAAGTATACTGATGAGGTCTCTGGATATATATAAAAATCATATAATATTAATAATATAATTATTGAGAGATGTATGTCGGTTATGTAAAATATATTACAAAATAATAATTTAAGAAAACTAATGGAGTCTCTCGGTGGCTTTCTGAAATGTGTGTTGTACACAGGATATAAAAATTTTGCTTGCAATTTTCGATCGAAGAAATGACAATCCAAATCCAATCCAAAATAAGCTTGGATTGGATCGGATTTTTTAAGTTTGGTTTCGGATTAATCAGTTTGAATATTTTGGATTTTCAGTTTTGATCCTATAAGTTGAGATGATGATGATGCTTCTTCTTTACAAAAAAGAACATCCAAATAAAGTAGTATTCATGTTAAATTGCCTTAATAGTTCATCATTCTCACCGCAATCATCCAAATAAAGTATGCATGCAAGTACTGAAACCATTATCCAGGAAATGCAATTGAGATACTAATAATGCAATGGACTAATGTCTAATAGATAGTACCATAAAAGCATAGGCGGGATCAGGATTTGAAGGTTATTGGTTCGGGTTCTAATCATTTTAAGTTATTGGGTTCTAAATTAATAATTTGCACATATTCAATGAATTTTTAAGACAAATACATGGATTGGATGAAAGCGGTTGGGTTCTGCCGAATCCGTAATCGATGGGCTAGCTCCGCGCCTGCATATAAGGTATAAAATTTTTTGATTTCCGAAGTACCAAATCTAACATCCAATCCCAAATCCAAAAATCCAAAAAAATCGGATTTTTACCGAAGTAAATGAGATTCTCTGAGAGTGTAGTAGCACTAAAAAGCTAAGTTACTCGGACTCGGGTGCAGGTGTCCAACACGGGTGCGGATCCAAAGGTCGAATCCTTCATGATCTAAATTTTAGGATTCGAGGATACGGATCTAGGTACGGGTACGGGTGCGAAGATTCGGCAAAAATAAATTAAAAATCTAGAAATATAGTTATAGAGATATGCATAATTATGAGAGATTATATGGAAAACTTACGTGTAACTTGTGCCTTGTAAAGTGTAGTAATTGAGTCATTTAGTTTTCAAGTTGTAGGCAGACACATAGACACTCTCCAAAATGGCATGATTCATTAATTTTCCTACAACTCGCACAACAAAGTATTAAAATAAGTTATTATAAACTTGTTAAAATATAACAAATAAAAGTTATAAAGAGATTTAGAGATACAAAAGAAATGAAACATACCTTTGGAAGTTAGAACTTAGAACTAAATAGACTAACATATATTCAAGAGTCACTATTCAAAAGTTTTAAATAATTAGCTATTCAAATTAAGTTACTCAAATGACCACCAAAAAATCTTACAGAAATTGTAAGTTCACAAGTTCATAGACAAAAAATAAGTACATAGCATACACATTTAAACTACGCTAGACTTGTCACTTGAAACATTGTGCATGAGTACATTCTATTCAAAGGTCATCTTCCTCAATCTCTTCAATGTCAACTTCTTGCAAATCTTGAACTTCCTCTTCAAAGAAGACTCCTTCTAGTTGAGGTTCGTCTATTGACAATTCAACTAGATCATTGATACTTTCATCAATATTAAAATAATCCCCACCTAAAACAACACCAAAATAAATTTAGAAGATTGTGAAAGGAACTTATCATGCTAAAGAAATTACTCAAGAAATATCAAATTATGGATATGTATGTATACGGATATACCTAAATCCCAATATTTGCTTGGACCACTTGTATACTTTTCCTTTCTTCGAGAGAGCAAGCGAAGATTATAATGGATAAAAACTAAATCTTCGGCTCTAGAAGTAGCTAGCTTGTTTCTCTTGATGCTATGAATCAATGAAAAAGTACTCCAATTTCTCTCGCAACAAGATAAAGAAGCTGTATGGGAAAGCAATTTGTAAGCAAGATTTTGTAAAAGTGGAGCATTTACACCATGGTTAGCCCACCAAGATAAAGGCTCCTCATACCCCATAGCATCAATTACATGAGGCTCACCAAAGTAACCATTCCCACAACAAAATTCCCCATACTCCAAAGAAGCTTTCTTTAAATCATTTGAATCCTTGAAATATCTTTGAAAGCATTTGAGCCTATTTTGTGAAATCTCTATATCTTCATTAGGAGCAAGTCTTCTTAATCCGTTGCTTTCACCTTTAAGCCATGACTCATGATAATATTTTGGAACCAATGAATGTGACATGCAATGCAATGGAGTATTACTCTTATTCCACCTTGCCACAAGAATTCCTTGAATTGTAGCAAAAAAATTCGATTGGCCGGTAATAAGATCTTTTCCCTCATGCTCAAATACAATCACCTTCACCTTTTCAATCATTGTATCCCACATGTCGTAAATAAGGTACAATTTTGGACAATCAAGGTCGACACTTCTAAGCATGGATACAATTGGCTCCGTACACCTCAACAAGTATTCAATAGTATCCCACCATTCATCATCCATCACAAGAGATTTTATTTCGCGCGCTTTAGCTTCAATTACTTTATCTCCTTTATAATTCTTCCATTCGTCATCCATCACCATTTTTTCCAATGACGATTTAACTCTATGAATACGAGAAGTCATAATAATATGGGAAGCAAATCTTGTTTCCGCAACTTTCAACAAAGATAACTCCGAATACTTTTGGAAAATGGCAAGCGCCATGTCGTAATTCACCACAAAATTCTTTAAGCTACTCACTTGACCAATCAACTTTAATATCCATTCACAATTTTTAAAGTGAGTTGATTTTTCTGAAGGTTGACACATACTTTTTAAAGCAAGATTCAAACAATGAATAACACATGGTGTCCAAAATATGTGCGAAAAAGTTTGCTCAACAATAGAACCGGCAAGCTTCATATTACCTGCATTATCAGTGATAACTTGGACAACATTCTCTGCATCGACATCTTCTATGGCTTTAATAAATAACTTAGCAATATATTCACCATCCTTAATAATCCCACTTGAATTGATTGATTTTAAGAATATTGGTCCGCCACTAGATGCTCCCATTATATTTATCAATGGTCGCCTTTTAATATCTGACCATCCATCCGAACAAATCGACAATCCTTTTCTTTTCCATGTATCTTTAATAGGTTGTAGTTTTCTATTAATATGAGCCTTTTCTTGGGCCAAAAGAGTTGTTCTTAATCTATTAAAAGTTGGCGGAACATAACCAGGCAAAGAATTTACTGCCAAAAACTCCGAATATTTTTTATAGTAAGGAGAAGTTGCAAGGTTAAATAATAAACCTGATGCGTAGAACATACGAGCCGCCAACTTGTCGGCAATGTTTCTGTTACAAATGTTAAAAGATTTCTCTAGTGCTCCACCATTTGAACTTTTTCTTTTTTTCAGTTGTGATAAGTCTAAGCCTTCCGGTAGAGATACATAATCTGCCTTTTTTCTTGCATTCAGTTGTGCGTCAGTTTTTTTCTTTTCAGCTTCTTCGTTCTCGATCTTCATTGTTGCACATACTTCATGAGTAATCTCTTTGCATATAGCAACGCCATGACCAGAGATCTTTAGAAGATGTGCTTTAACTTTAGAATATGAACCACTAACTTGTTTATTGCAAAAATTACAAGACCACACTCTGTTTCCACCTCCATTAGGAGGAACTGAAGAACTTTAACATGATTCCATAAGGGTTTGTCATCAAAATCTGATGCAATACTTTTTGTTGGTCTTGAAATGCCTTTTCCTTTTTGTTTCACAGCTGTTGATGAAGCCATTTTAAGGGATATTGGGTGAAGAAAAATTCTAAAATTTTTCGGCTATGGATTCAAAGAAAGTCGAGATGAAGCAGAGAGAGTAAGAATGGCTTGTTTGTCTATGTTCTTGGACAAGAAAATTCATTCAATGAGAAAAAAGATATTCTGATGGGGAGATGGGTAGTTTACGATGACAATAGACTTATTGGACAAATAATTCATTAAATAAACAAAAAGGTATTATGATGGGTGGAGTTTATGATGATAATTCACTTTTTGGACAAGATAATTCACGTCACTTTTCATGGGATAGTAAAATA